GCGTGCTTCCACCCAGCGATGCCTCCTCCGTTGAGTTGCTGCACGTTGGCTGGTGGGATGATGACGACAGTGAACTTATCACGGTGTGGTCGGATGGCACTGTGTCGCTGCTCAATATGGCGTTAGAGACCATCGGGGGCACTTGCGTCTTCTCTAGCCGTGAGGAGCAGATGCCGGGAAGGGTAACTAGAGCGACATCTGTTCCCCCTGCTTTCCAAGTTAATTCGAGTGGGCGGAGCACTGTGCCTCGAGAAGCAGGCCTTGTAGCATTGGTGGTGGATGGAAATGTCGTGGTGGTGTGCACCGTCCATGAATCACCGCAACTGCACGTGAAGGCAACAACACCACCACCACCACCAACAACAACAGCAACAGCAACAGAAGAAACAGAAACAGTAGGTGGAGAGGAGCCACCACTGAAGTCTGCCAAGGTTGAGGCGACTGAAATAGTTAAGCAGAGAAGAGGCCTAACATTGCGACCGGGGCATCAGACTTACTGCAGTGAGGATATCCCCATTCGCGACCTTGCGCTGTTTGATAACTTTTTGCCGTACACTTTGGCTGTGCTTTTAGAGAGTGGCGCAGTGGTGGCGCTTGACCCAGCCACTATGGAACTGCTCTATCATCGCCCCCTCCAGCGCCTTTTCCCTCCGAGAGGGGCCAATACGAAGCAGCCGCCGAGCGACAAGCGTGATGCTGAGGCAGAGAAGAGCGTTGATACCACGCGCAGCGGCAGTTACTTCTTCCGGCCGAGAGAGAGGCCTCTGGCGTTGTGTGTCATGGAGCACAACACGGCTGTCGTGTTGCGACCTTCTTAACAACAAGACAAACGAAAAAGAAAAAAAAAAAGAAACAACAACAACAACAAAAAGAACGGCTATCCCTTTGACTTTAATGGCTGTGAAGAGGCCCACTGTGGTGGATCTGGTGAGGATTTGTCACCACATGGAAAGAAATGCGTGCTTTTCCTCCCCTTTCCTCTTTATTGTTTCACATTCTCTTTCCGTGCCTTCGCGTAGTTCTTAGCTGCTTGGCGCCTGGTAGTATCGAGAGAGTGGTCCCACTCCTGCTGGCGAATGATGTTGTGGGCGCAGCAGCGACTTGTGCTTCGCGCTTCAGTCGTGTGCGGCGGTCGCCCTGCTGCTCTCCGTCGCATGTGTGCCCCCTCCACGTACGCGCGGCCGATGGTGGTGTCATCCGTGACAACAGGCGCGCGCTACTTCGCGCGTGTCTCACCCATTCAAGGCACGATCGAGGCCCCGGAGGGTGGCTTCGTGACGGAAGACATTAAGATCGATATGAACGCAAACATTGGAGGCGCATACGCGCGCGGCGTGTTTGCGCGTCGCGAGATTGGCTACGGGCGCGAGATCATGAACGTCCCCGCCTACGTCATGTACATTGGTGAGGACAGCAATCAACCGCTCCGTGAGCAGGTGCTCATCCTCACCAAGGAGGTGTTCACGAGGCTCGTGCTCGGCACGCCTGAGGAGAAGCGGTACATCATGCACCGCGTCGTCACGCTCATGTCGGGTGGCTTCTCGTACTTTACGCGTGAGCGGGACGTGTTTGAGTTTGCGGAGGAGGTGCGGGCCCCTGGCCCGGAGGGGGCACTCAAGAACGGTGCCAACTTCCTGCTCAGCGGCGAGTTCTCCACGTACGACCTGCAGAAGCTTCCGCTCATCATTGAATTCAACCGCTACGACGTGGAGTACAATGGGCGACGGGGCATCTGCCTCTTCCCGGAGGCGCAGTACTTCAACCACCAGTGTGAGCCCAATGTGGAAGTGACGATCACGTACAATAGAGTGAAGTCGAATTTTTACTTGAGCGCGCGCACGGTGCGCCCAGTACGTGAGGGCGAGGAGTTATTCGTGAACTACATGCCAGGAAATACGCTGCCAGTGTCGCGACTGGCGCTAGCGATGAAGAAGCGGTGGGGATTTGAGTGCACGTGCGTCAAGTGCAAGAGCCGTGGCATTGGCGCCGTGACGGTGCTGTTTGTCGTGGTGATGCTTCCCATGACGGCGTACCTGCGCTCAATCAACGTGCGCCGCACACAGGAGAAGCAACGAGGCCTGTGAAGCCGCCGCCGCCGCGGCGGTGGGCGCACGGTTATGGGGGCGCTTCATCTAGCCACCTGTTCATACACTACGGAGGGAGAAAAGCAACTCATAGTGTTCCGTTCAACTTCTTCCTTTGACAGTGTTCGTCTTCGTGTGTGTGCGTGTGTGGGGTTTGGTTTTGTGGTCTGCTGTTGTGCCGTTCACTACCGTTTCTTTCTTCTCTTCTGGCGTTGTTCTCTGCGTGTTTTTTGCTGTTGGTTTTTTTTTTGTTTTGGCTTTCCGCCTCCCTTCAGCCAGCTAATTAGGAGTCGGGAGGCCTTCTTTTTTATATTTTTACTCTGCTGAAACGAACAGAGTGAAGAGGCGGTGGAGCTCCCTAAGAAAGAATAAAAAAAAAAAATAAGAGAGGAGAGAAGAAAAGAACGAGAAGAAATACGGAAGGGAGGAAAGCGGAAAAAAAGAAAAAGAGAAAAGGAAAAAGAAACGAAAAGAATAGGGAATCAAGCATACACGCGGATATATAGATATATCTATATATCTACACATATATATTGACATATACTTACGAGGAAAAGAAAGGAATAGGCATCTAGAAGACCTCTTTGCCTTTCAAGAGGGAAATACTGTTGTGTCTCGCGATAGTGTGTGATGATGCAGAAGGACGCTAGCCTGTGGAGCCCCAGCATGCTCACGGGCTCCACTGGGACGTCGGGAGCCACGGCGAACCCCAGCAGCCGCGCTGCAGCAGGAATAACCAGCAGCACGTCCGCACCGGTCATGAGCACCAGCAACACTAGCTACGCCTTCATGTCATCGGCTGCCTCGTCGATGCTCGTGCAGGGCGGCACCAACGGCCTGAGTAACACCCCCGCCGCGCTGATGCCAGCGACAGTCAGCCACGAACGCTCGCAGGAGTTGTGCAAGTACTTCCTCAACGGCGGCTGCCTCCGCGGAGCGCAGTGTCAGTACCTCCATGAGCTACCAGACGAGCGGCACCTTGACGTGAACGGCTACGGGTACATTCTCAACCCCAACGTGCACAACGCGCAGAAGACCCTTCCTCTAGCAGTCAGCAGCACCGTGACAGGGGCCGTGCAGGTGAACGGCGGTGCCCCGGCGTCCTCACCATTGATGCTGGGCCTTAATACAGGTGGCGGCAGTGGTGGTGGTGGTGGTGGTAGTAGTAGGCAGTCTCATGGTGCGAAGAGCAAACCGCAGACGTCCTTCATGGTTCCTGTCCCGACGCATCTGCAGTTTCAGCTGTCTTCCTCAACTGTTAAGGCGCCGCCGCCGAGGTACCGTCCGCCAGAGCCATTCTTAGAGTACAACCTGCCACCCACTCTGGCACTGCCGTTTAACACGCCTTCAAAGGAAGTGGCCTTCCAGCTTTCGCGCACAATGCTCCAGAACTGATGGTAAACGAAATGAAGAGGAGTCGTGTGTGCGTGTGTGTAAGTGTGGAATGACGGGTGAAGCGGCAGAGGTGGGGGGAGGGAGGCGTCTGCA